CAAGGCTCAGTATGAGCAGGGAGACAGCAGTGACCATGAAACTGATTCCAAGAGCCTCAGGGGTGGGGCTTAGTGACAGCAGGGAGGCAAGGAGCAGCACACAGCTCACCCCAGGGTCTGATTCCTCACCAGGAGGACACCAGGCTCCCTTGCAGAAAAGGAAGGATTCCAAGAGGCAAACTCAGCTAGGACAAAAAATTACTAAGGAGATTTCGTTTAAAGTTTAACTCTCATATCCTAGATTTATGGTCCCTGGGATCTTCATATTACAGGAAAAGCTGCTACAAATCTTCCCAGTGAGCACATAGTGATGCCATGGGGCTCCCCAGCTCTTGTATACAAAAAGTTGGACAAAAGCAAAAGGCATCATAAAAAAGTCTTCTTTCTCTTTCAGTGGTGGCACACACCTTTAATCCCAGTACTTAGGAGGCAGAGGAGGGCAGATCTCTGAAATCAGCCTGGCCTACATAGTGAACTCCACAACAACCAGAGCTACATAATGACACTCTGCCTCAATAAAACCAAACCAAATCAACCAACCAAAAAAAAATCAAACACACTACCACCACCACCTACAAAGTAACATAGAAGAGTGACTCAGAGAATTCTTTATTCACAGTATAGAATACTCTGGAAAAACATTAGGACAGAGGCTTAAGGATGGACAAGAGAATGGACAATTATACTCTCAGTTATATATTTTATAGTCACAAGATAGTTGTAACAGGAAAAAAAAATTCTTAATCCAATAAATATTCTAAGTAGCTCATAGAATCCTTACCTCACTGTTTCTTTTAAGCATAAATACCAGGTTAGCATTTCCACCCTATAAAATAACAATAAAAATGCATTTAAAAAATGAAAATTTTGATGCAAAAACTAAACTCGATGTAACTTTGAAAAGTCACATTGTACTTCTGGCTTTCTTTCTTTTCTACCATGGTTTCCCCCTAGAGGGTATGAAGAGAAGTTGAACTAGTGTTTACTAAAAAAGTCACTGGAATTGGATCGAGAAGGGTTGGGGTCCAACCAGGCCATTTAATGAAACTGGTCCTGCCAAGGCAGAGTGGAATTGGGTCTGTAAAAAGGACAGGTGGCCCAAAGTGCCAATAATGTGTGCCTATCAACTATATGGTTTGCTCTAAGAATGTGCTTTCCCTAGAAAAAAGAATTCCATTACAATTGACAAGCCCAGTATCTGAGCCAGATCATGGGAAAAGGCAATGAACTGAAAGGAGGTGCCACAGGTTCACGGGCATGAGTGTTCCTCTAGAAAATCTTACCTTTTTCAGACCACTATCCGACTGACTCTGTTCTCCTAAGGTCTTGGCCGACATCACCCTCTTCTTTCTCACCTCCTAAACAACAACAACAACAAAAACAACAAAACCCAAACAGGTATGTTTAAAGTTGTAGGAGAGGTGAGCCAAGAAAACAATATAGTTTAGGCGTATTTACAGTTCTGAATCCTATTAGCATTGAAAATAAAAAAAAAGGCCAGGAAGCCACTCAGTGGTACTAGGCCATTATTCACACCTTCACTAGTAGAGAAGTAAGAAAATTAAATCCAAAACAAAGCAGCAAGCACAGCTTAGCAACCTTATTTGATGCTTGGGGCCAGAAGAGTCGGAATGTAAAGATTTCTGAACACATGTAATAATGAAACATGTGGAAGATGGGACTTAGGTCCAGACATAAAGTTACTGACTGACTCATGCAGACTTTCACATACAGAGCCCAGAGATGGCAGTATACAGTATTTTGAGCATGCTCTGTCCTTATTGGAACTTTTCAAGTATGGAGTGGAGTTCCCAACTGTAACATGTCAGCAAGTTTTGAACTCTGAAGCAATTTGGACTTCAACTTTTCAGATTAGAGATGCTCAAGGCCTCTGGCTAGAGTTAGCTTAGCTGAGGGAAAACAACAATAGGAAGCTTATGGTCCCAGATGAACATGATTCCGACAGGCATTCGTGAATGTTTAAGACTCTCGTGAAGATAGTTATTGATGAAGGAACAGACTAGATGGAGCTACCAGAATCCAGGTCACTGTGAACTGCAAAGGAATAATGGATGGTTTACCTTGGAAGCATTCATCTGATGACAGTCAAATCCTCCAAAAGTTTCTGCTCTCCGGGGCAAAGAAATGGGACCAGCCATGACTTCCTGCTCAACAGGGCTGCTGATAGACTGTCCAAGTGTGCCACCAAGGCTTCCACTCACTGAACCCTGAAGGATTTCCACTGGAAAAAAGCAAATAAAACACTCAGCCGGGTATCTATCTTTCTTCCATTAAGAGGGAACAATATTATGGCAACATGTGATATATACAGCCTGGATCAGAAAATACCAAAGAATGGGACATCATGCATTTTTAGATGGGCTCTACTGGAAACAGAGGGACAAATTTCACCTTTACTACCTTGGGCCTGAAACATCTGTGAGGGAACAGGAAGGCACAGTAATTTACTGGGAGGAGTATGGTCTCTGGAGAGGTTTCAAGGTAGTTGAAAGGACTGAAAAAGTGAACCAATTTGAGAACAGCAAGTAAAACTAACTGGTTTTGCTCCTTTGAGAGCAGGTAGACTTCAGGGGTAGAACACCCTAAGTGTTGGGATCTTCCAGTGCAACCATTAACTGTTAACTTGAGATCTTCCCTCTGGCAGGGCTGGTGGAGAGGACACTGAAGCTAGAGAGCCACAGAACAGGAACAACAGGGGTAGATGAGAAAGGAGGTCCAGAGGAAGTCAGAGGCACGATGCCTTAACACGCATCAAATTTTAAATAAGGAATTAAAAACAATAAAAATATAATAGAAAAATAGATGTGAGAAACTCTTTTTTTTTCTTTTTTGGTTTTTCGAGATAGGGTTTCTCTGTGTAGCCCTGGCTGTCCTGGAACTCACTCTGTAGACCAGGCTATCTCAGCTTAGGAGCCTGAGGCAGCAGCATGGAGACTGAGGGGCAGCATGGTCTCTTGTAACAAGGTCTTAGTTTAAAACAAAACAGAAAAACAAAGAAGAACTAGGAAAGTAGAACAAGTCATACTCAGAGCTGGCAAGAAAAATAATCACAGAAACTAAAATCCAATTAGCATGTAAGAGCAATGTGCCCACAAAAGATGGCAGACAGGTAAGGATTACTTAAAGTGACAAATATTGACACTGGGCAAGAAAGTCACATGATTTGGCAAACTGGCTTGAAGAAGAAAAACCAAAGCCAGAGAGAAGAGGGGATATAAAGAAGTACAACTCAAGAATGTTTTTCTGAATTGGAAAATATCTGTAACCACACTAAACAGTCAGGAATCACCACAAGAACCATATGGAATACTCTATAAAGGCTTTGGACAGAAAAAAATTACTCTTTGGCCATGTAGGCAAGAAACATGTGACTTATTTGAAGAAAATCGAACTGTTACCAGCCTCTGAGCCTGATGGGAAAAATGATATGATATGACAGTAATTAATATACTCAGGTATGAAAATGCTAGCCGAAGATTTCTTATCCAGAAGATCCTTTGAAATAATAAAGAAGGGCTGGTGAGATGGCTCAGTGGTTAAGAGCACTGACTGCTCTTCCAGAGGTCATGAGTTCAAATCCCAGCAACCACATGGTGGCTCACAACCATCTGCAATGAGATCTGATGCCCTCTTGTGGGGTGTCTGAAGACAGCTACAGTGTACTTATAATAAATAAATAAATAAAGTTTAAAAAAAAAAAGAAATAATAAAGAAGTCATAAATATTATTTTGACAGTACTTTGAGGACACTGAGCTAAACATGGGGTTCTATAAGCATATCCTTAAAGAGCGAATATACATCAGGCTAGGAAGAGAGAGCATATGCATAGTAAGAGACCAGCCGTGCAGACACAGTGTAACTACTTAAGAAGAGGTAGATGTGGGAGACAGACAGCCTTTAACAACTGTATTGGTAAGAACACCAGCATCATTCTTATGCTAGTACCAGTGTTAAAGCATGATAAGGACACTATTTTTTGTTTTTTTGTTTTTTGTTTTTCAAGACAGGATTTCTCTGTGTAGCCCTGGCTGTCCTGGAACTCACTCTGTAGACCAGGCTGGACTCAAACACAGAAATCCACCTGCCTCTGCCTCCCAAGTGCTGGGATTAAAGGCCTGGGCCACCACCACCTGGTTTAGGACACTATTTTTATTTAAAAGCATTTCTCTCTCTTCTCTGCCTCTCTCTCTCTCTCCCTGTCCCTCTCCACCTCTCCCTCTCCATCTCTCCCTCTCCCTCTCTCTCTCTCTGTGTGCATGTGTGTATGGTGGTCCTTGTGTGTTAAAGAGGAGGGACATAGTTTGGAGGCCCCTTTTATTATGTGGCTTCTGGGAATCAAACTCAGGTCATCAGGCTTTGCAGCAAGTGCTTTAACCTAAACTAAGCCATCTTATCGAACCACTAGAGGCTATTCTAATTCTATAATACAGGTATCCTTGAGAAAGAATGTGGATAAGAGACAGACATGTGTAAGGAATAAGGTTCTAAAATAAGAAAGGCAACCTGTCATTTGTAATTTGATTAGATCAATCCTCTGAAAGGACAACACAGTAATGACTAAAACCTCACAGCAACTACTATACTATCTCTGGTATCTAGATTGCCGTCTTAAAATATTTTTCACTAAAGGAGACCAGAAGTCTTGAAGGAATAAATGGATTAGCAAACAACCAAGAATCCCTTAACTCCAGGAAGCAAGCTCTGCACTGTAGCCATGCCACAGATTTAGAAGTACGGGGGTACTACTGGCAAGTGGGGGACACTGAGCTTTAAACGAGGCTGGAACCTGCTCAGAGATCTGGAACCCATGAATCCACAGGAAGTTTACTTTGGGGCTGGGCTCATCACAAGGCCCCTTGGTATGCAGAGCTCTAACTCTGAGCTACAACTGCAGCCTCATGACATGTGTACAAGGTAGAGCAGGGCCTAGCAGAAGACTCTCACAAACCAGTTTATTATCTTGAAACCTGGCACACAGAGGAGGACAGCCCTCCCCTGCAGCATTCAGCCTTCTATCCCACGGTTCCTATTCTGCACAAAAAGGACGACCTAGGACCTGATGCTTCCATTGGAAAGAATCAGCACCAAAGGCACACACATTATCAAATTCATCAAGTCTGAAACCAGCTGTGATGGAAAGGTCTAGAGGACAGACATGCCATATGGAAAAATCCAACCCGTGGTTCAAAACGCTCAGCGACTCCAAGGACAAAGCACAGGGCAAGCATGGGGATGAGGGCTTGTAGGACGGCTCAGCAGGCACGCAAGGGGAGTTCTATGTCAACTTGACCCAAACTAAACTTATTTGGGAGGAGGGAACCTCAACTGAGAAAATGCCTCCGTAAGATCGGGCTGTGGGCAAGCCAGCAAGCAGCACCCAGCCAGAGCTTCTGATCAGCTCCTGCCTCTAGGTTCCTGTCCTGACTTTCTAGGATGATGAGTAGTGATGTGGAAGTGTAAACCAAATAAACCCTCGCCTCCCAACTGGCTTTTGGCCACAGTGCTTTCTCATAGCAATAATAACCCTAACTAAGACAGCAGGTAAAGGCATTTTATTTCTTATCTTGTGTAGTGGTTTAAGGGATAAAGTGTACTTGACAATTTACTACACTGATACTGGAAAGTTTTTTGTACTGGTGCTTTATTTATTAACAGTAGAAAGTGGCAGGGGACATTAGTGTGCACATAGGGAGGGGCCGATGCTGTGTGTAAAGTACCTTCACTTATCGCACTTTTCATTAGAGGTCCTCCTTTGAGAGCCTCCTCTGTGTTGGAGCGGAAGAGTACTCTTGGGCTGTGCACTGGGGAGCAGTCCTCAGGCAAGGGAGTGCTGCACTCAGTCATGTCCCGGAAAATCATCTCCTTCTCTTCCAGCAAGAGGAGGATCTGCTGGTCCTTCTGCTGAAGCTGTTCTGCAGGACAAATGGAGAAACCACCAAACTTGTCTGGAGTTGTGGCTCACAAGAGGACCAAGAGATGAGCACCACCTTGTGGTGGTTAAGGGAAGGGCCGCGACAGGAGGTGCTTTCCATCCTGAGCACAGGACTGCCCCTGTACTTGGTGAAGCTGCCCTGGGTTCTGTTGTGTGAAGCAGCAGCATTTCTGATGGAACTGCTCTGCACTTTGTCTGTGCTCCCTTCCTGTTTCTCTCTTCACCACACTCTGACATGGGTTCCACGTTCTTCCAACCGCCTTAATTACAGAACCTAAAGAATTACTCATTTTAGGCCTTTTCCCGCACGGATATTTATTCCCTCTTTCTGAAACATTCCACCTGTGCTCTCCTGAGGATATCCGTTTCTTCCAGAGGGCATTTTATGGGTCCTCCATCTGTGATGGAATGGCACAGCTGGACTGCCTCTGTACCCTACACGCTTTCCTCCTGGGGCTCACACTCTCTGTCAACTGCCTCCTGTATGCCGATAATCCCCAGCAAGCACCCTTGAACCTGCTTTATTTTCTGAAGGTCAGACCACTGTGTCGACTATCATTTGAGTATCTCAACCAAGAGGGTACTATCAGGATAGCAGAAATGAATCTTTCCAGCTGACTGACCTCCCTCTAGTTTACAGTTTCTTGTTCTTCCTCTCCCTCTTCTCCCTCTTCTTCTTCTTCTCCCTCCTCCTCCTCCTCCTATATTCCCCCTCCTCCTCTTCTTCTTCTGGTTTTTCGAGACAGGGTTTCTCTGTGTAGCCCTGGCTGTCCTGGAACTCACTCTGTAGACCAGGCTGGCCTCAAACTCAGAAATCTGCCTGCCTCTGCCTCCCAAGTGCTGGGATTAAAGGCCTGTGTCACCACTGCCTGGCTTACAGTTTCTTTGTTAGCACTCTATCTCCCAGGGTATCCAGCTTGGTAAACCAGTTTATTCTGTTCCATCACTCACAACCAACTCATACCCATTTGTCTAAGTTTTTTTTTTAATTTGTTCTCTGACAATTTCATATAAAGTGTCTTTTTTTTTTTTTTTTTTGGTTTGGTTTGGTTTGGTTTGGTTTTTCAAGACAGGGTTTCCCTGTATAGCCCTGGCTGTCCTGGAACTCACTTTGTAGACCAGGCTGGCATCGAACTCAGAAATCCGCCTGCCTCTGCCTCCCAAGAGCTGGGATTAAAGGCGTGCACCACCACTGCCTGGCATAAAGTGTATTCATTTACTGTAATTTTTTTCCTATCTCTCGTATCTGATCCCAAGTCATTTTTCTACATTCATGACTTTGATGTTTTATTCTTTTGTGACTGATTTTAACTAGGATCATCATTGGCACAATGAGTTTGGAACTACCCATTGGAGTCTGATAAGCTCCTTACTAGTCCTTCCTCCCCATGGCAACTGCAAGGAAGGGGTACAGCCCCTATCCTTGATTTACTCTTGGGGCCTATTGCAGGCAGCCATAGCTACTGTGGAGTGCTGACTGTGACCACTGTGCCATGTCCAGAAGCCAACATTCACAGCACTTCTCCCTGTCTTGAAGCTCTTACAT